TTCAGCACTGATTTCATAGCAATCGTAAGATTTATTATTTTTAAGCTTTAAAATACATTTTTCAATATCAGCTGTCGAGATAACTTTTGAATTAGGCTCTTTACTTAAATGTGGAATTTGGAGAGGATTGAACTCGTTATTTGTATATTGCGGTGTATTAAGTAGTTTTTGGAAATGATGACTAAATTCTTCGACGATTTCGTTTTTGTTCTGCAATTTATTAATTGTAAAGAGTCGATTGTTAGTATTTTTTTTGATTTTTCGAATATTACCCCAAAACCTTTGAGGATTTGTATTGCGTAAGTGTTCTATATTTTTAGTTTTTTCGTGAATTTTTTTGTTATGTGCCGCTTTTACAGCTTTACGAAAGTTTTTTCGGGAATAAATAAATCTTTTGTAGGATATACATTCTGTTGACTTATTATAACCTGATTTTTGCCATTGTCTAAAGTGAAAGGAGAGATTATCTTTAATTTTTTTAAGCTCAGGTGTCCACCAAGGTTTCGAGTACTTATAAAATTCTTTTTGTCCGAAACATTGTTTAACTGCCAAGAGAGCTGCATTTTTTATATATAAGCATGTTTTTTGAATTTCTTCTTCTATTTTATCTTCCTTAAATGCGTAACTAGTAAATGCTTTTGATAGATTGAGATTATAAAAGTCAATAAACCTTTCGTTATTCCATGCATGTTTTGGTATTGAATTATATTTTTGCATTATATTATTTATTTCGTGTGATAAGCCGGTACCTTCAAAGTTAATATTCGTAGACACCGGAAGGTGATCACTAAGGTTAAGCGGTGAAGATTGCATAACTTGACAGTTTGTAAAACATAGTTCTGTCTGTTTATAGGATGCAATATGGTCAATGTAAGAAGAATTAGAAAGAGTTTTATGTTGATAGGTATAAGTAGGCCCAGCACCGTTGATTATATCGACAAAAGCGAGCTGATTTGATTCAATAAAATTAGTGAGATGTTTTGAGAAATTGTTCCTAGTTTTGTTTTTACGAAGCTCTGAATCATATATTTTATATGGAAATGACTGAAAGTCTCCGGAAATAATACATTCTCCTTCATCCTCATAGTTGTTCATTATTGAAGTGATTGTTTGTAACTGAGAAGAGTATTTTGCGTATGATTCGTTATTATTACGACAAGATGAAAGGTAAACACCAATAAAAATTAAGTTACGATTGTTAAGTGTGCCTTTAATAGCAAGAATGTTTTCATCTTCATGTATTATGTAAAAAGACGACAGTTTTTTTCGTACCATAAAAGCATTTCCTCCATATGGTCTACCGTGTGTATTTTTTTCTGCCGCATGAAAAAAAACTTTGTGTGTTAGTAATGCAATGTTATTTAACAAAAAACTCTCAATATTTAAAAGCCAATGTTCTGATATAAAAATAATATCGAAAGACTTTAACAACTTAGAAATATAATATGAATTCGATTTAAAGCTTTGACAGTTATATGCACATAGCGTAATATTTGTGTTAGTTACATTTAATTCTTTTTCTCCCATTATGATTTCAATTTTTATTGTTGCATAAATGCTGAAGAGTGGTGTAAGAATTGTGGCAAATGATTTTCGGTATTTTGATGTGGTTTTTCGATTGTTAGTGCTTCTCGCCGCATTCTAAACGGTTTAACAATAATGTTGTTATCCCAAACATCGGGTTTAAGTACCATTCCTTTTTCAGTACTATTAATTTTTACTTTGAAAGAGCGGTTGTACATGTTTTCTCTATTAAGCTTTATGTCTAAAGGAGTAATACCTATTTCTTTATTCATGTAGTTTGATAGATCTTCTTCGGATATGGAGTTACAAACTCCGCCTACAAATATATATGATTCTCGAATAATACGTTTGCCCGCAATCGAGCTTCTGTTGCTAGCGACTTTGTTTCCGAAAACGGGTTCTTTTTTTTGCTTATCCATATGGCTCTTATTAACTTTATTATTTTTTCCTACCACTTTGAATTCTTGATAGTCTGTTACACAGTCTTTTTCTTTTTCTGGTTTCCGGTTATTTTGTTCCGGGTTTTGCATTTTAACCACGGTAGCGTAGGAATCTCTAATTTTATTTTTTCTATCGGTATATAAACTTGAAATCTCTGTGCTGGAGTGTGCAGTAACTTCTTCCAGCGTATTTCTTTGATTTGGGGAATGATATTTTATTGAATTTGAAACAATAGATTTTATATTTTCTTGCGATTTATGAGGTTCACAATTACTTGTGTTGTTAAATTGTGACGCACATTGATTTTTCACGATTTCGTTATTTGTTTTTTGTAGTTCGTCGTATTTTACCTGTAATAAATGCAAATCTGCCATAATTTTTTTATTTTCTAATTGTAATGCTTTTAACCGATCAATAACTTCTTTTAAAATCAATGCCATATTTATATCTGGCGGTTGATACATTTGTTGACTAGCTTGTTTGGAGTTAGAAATCAATTTAATAAAGTCTTTATGAAGTTGATTTTCCGCTAAAGAAATCGACATCAGATAAATATCATCAAGACATGTTAATATCTTATACCGTTTTCTCAGATTTTTTTTAACGGGATCTTCCGCGTCTAGAATAATGTTTAGCAGTGAGAACTGCTCTATGTCAAAACGTTCCAATATTTCTTGAAATAATTCCACTCTTAATTTGAAAACTTCCGCCTCCTTAAATTGAGAAGACCCATAGATGATTACATCCCTTGGATGTGAGCAGATTTCCTCTACATTTATAATATAGTTCTCTAAAATATTGTTACTTGACTGTATTGTTAAAAACAACTCACCAATTTCTCTTGGCGCCATATAGCATAAATAGTGAATGTTGAGTTTGTATTTTGTTCATAATTGTATGAATGTTTAACCTATGTTAATAATGTTTCAATCTGTAATGGTAATATTGTAAAACAAGAAGAACTTTTATTTTAAACAGTTTTAGTTTTAAGATTTTAGTTTATAATTAGTGTTTTATGTAATTAAGTGCAATATTGTTATCCTTTATTTTTTATTGTTATTATTTTTGTTTTGTTAAAAAAAATGTAGCTAAAAGGTGACAGGATGTCTCTTAATAATTAAATAGAAAATAATTGATAATTATAATGGCAGAACGGCAAATATAAGTCAATTAGACAATAAGTAGAGGAAAGCAAGGCAAATTAAGACTACTTCAGCTTTTGTATTGTTTGTCAAAAAGTTAAACTTCGTTAAAAAAAGTATAAAACTTGAAACGACTAATGAAAACTACTATACGAACAGATTGTAATATTATTTGGTCAGGAAAAATAGGGAAAGATTTTTTCTATAAAACAACTTAACAAAAAGTTAAAAAACGAGTTAAAGGAAACCATATATATAGTTTGTATTTTAAAAAACCAATTTGTTTTTCTAAATATTTTTATCGTGATTTTAGATTTATTTTTAGAGTTATGTTTAGTTATTTTTAGAATTCTCGCTCAGAACTTAAAGGACCGACGTTTAACACTGGCTCTAGCCCAATAATGACATTTGTTGGGCTAGAGCCTAAGATCATGCCTTCTTTGGTAAGGAAGATCATACCTTTTTTGGTAAGGAAGAAGGCATGAACTTCCTTTTAAATGCTCTTCCACAGTGCTCTGTGATAAGACCGTAAGGACTTCTGGAAGTATTTTAATAGCTACACAAAAAAAAAAAAAAAAAAAAAAAAAAAACTAAATATGTTCACTGATATTCCTTCTACTAGCATGTTTGCTGGGTAGCGTAATGCTTTTTGCTTATGGATGGTACCTTACGGGTGGAACTATTTTTCAGGGATAGTTTTTACGACGCGTATTTATTTAGAAAAAGTATTTGTTACTAAATTTTCAAAAAAAACTAAAAAACTTCTCTCAAATATTACGGGCTAGGTTACAAACTTGTGCATTTTGCATTTTAAGTTTTGTTACAAACTTTTTTATTTGGAAAGTTAAACTTATGCAACTAATAAACCATTACGATAAAATATTGTGTCAAAATATTGTTGTCCAATGCCTGATAGTTTTGCAAAAAAAAAAAAAGAAAAAAAGAAAGAATATTTAAAACGTTCGTTACCTTGCGCCGTCTTTTGAAAATACTACCTCTGTTTAAGAAAGTACTGAGCTTAAAGAAAGCAGAACTCTAGCTACCGTGTAGCAAAAAAGACATTTGTTTTAGCAAACTCCAAACATTTATATGTTTATACTTATGTCAAATAAAGATGCTATGAAAAAAATTGCAATGATTGAAGTCAAAAAAGTTCCAACATTTTTTATTCTTGTTATAATTTTTATTATTCTTCATGTTATTTTCCCCAGAAAGTAAACATGTCTTTAAAGTAAACTTTTAAATAGAACAATGATCCCAAACAATCAGCAAAACTTGGTAAAGCATGTTTTAAGGCAAGTAAAGCCAATATAATGCCGTGGCATTATATTGGCTTGTGTAATTTCCTGACTTAATTCCTATTGAACATTTATGGAAACATAATTTTTTATTAGGAATTAAAAAACAAAAACAAATTTTTGAGGCCGTAGATTTTTATGCGTTCCGGATGATGTTTCTATGGGTGTTTTTAATTATTTCATTAAACGGTTTTGTCACAACTAATCTTGCATGAAAATAAAATTTGCACTATCTATAAAACTTTAACAAATATTTTAAGTTTAATCATTAGGGATGTAGAAAATAGATTTGGTTTTGCATTTATTAAGGGTCTGCGTCTCAGAACGGTACAAGACGAAACGAAACAAAACGATGAAAAATATCGTTTCGATAAAACCGTTACGAAACGAAACAATTTTTATCTTTTTTCGCAAAATACGGTACGAAAAGAAATACAATTTTCTGGTTTCGTGATAAATACGGGACACATTTTTTGTTTTGAAAAAACCGGTACGAAACGAAATAAGATTAAACTTTTTCCGAAATAAAACGGTAAAAACGAAACAAACAAACAAGAAATTTCTGAGTTTTACGAGAAATACTAATGTTTTTACGACAGATAGGGCTAGCATAAAATAAAAAAGTAATTTACTTTTATATTGTACCAATTTAAGCACACATTTGCGATTTTTACGAAAAATCAGTTTTTATTTAGACAATTATATTTCATGATTTTAAAATTTCACAATAAAAAGTAAAACATTTTTATTTTAATACTTGTTGAGTGTCACTTTCGGATGTTTTTTCGGATGATGTTGTTTCGGATTCTTCTGGAATTTCCATTGTTTTTCTTTTGATTTTTTCAGTTCAAACTGACTATTGATATAGTGAAGCGTAAGAGTCATATATGGATCCTGTGACCTAGAGGTCCAACCATCAGTGGTGATAGCCACCTGTTGACAAGTGGAAACTTCTTTTTCAATAAGGTTTTGCACAGTATCCATAACGCTTTCATAAAGCAATGGCAGCTTGTACCTTGAAAAAGTCGAGGAATGTTTCACAATTACTTTTGGATTTAAATGTTCCACCATTTCTTTGAAGCATGGTTCATCTACTAGAGTGAATGGACTACTTGACCTGGCAATGTATGACATGATTACCATGTCTGTCTCCAATTGCCTGCCTGATTGGGAAGAATATTTCCCAATAGTTCCCCCATTAACACATTTAGATAAGCCTTTTTGTGATCGTTGATCTAAAAAAACGAAATAAAAATTAAAGTTAAACATGAAAATTATCTTTATACAAGGAAAAACATTATTTTATGAAAAATAATTAGAAACTTACTGTATGCGTCATTCAGTTCGAAGGCAGCTTTTGTAATTTCTTTAATATCTTCTTCTCTTTGGCGCTCAAGTTCAATTTGGGCTCTTAACATCGTAGCGTAGTCAGTGGGATGCTTTGTTTTCAGATGGTACCTGATACCACTAGTGGATCCATCAGTTAACTTGACTTGGATTTGACACTTTTTACATTCCCCACACTTAACACCTGACACAGTAACTTTATTGAAATAATTCCATAAAATTGTAGCTTTTATAGGCATGATTATATGATTGAGAATTACTATGGTTTTTACACAATAAATTAATTAGGTTTGCAAAATATTTCAAGTTAACACAACAATATCGCATTTAAAATGTTATATAATATAATTTGAAGTATTTAATTCAAACAATGATTTCAAACTCTTCATGCGAGTTTATAAACAAATACATAATTTATGTCTGATGAACTTAAAGTTAAAATTTTATTACAGTAAAACGGTTTTACTGTAATAAAATTTTAACTTTAAGTTCATCAGTTTTACTAAAACCTACCTACAGAAGACAATATCTTTTTTTAACTTCGTTAGATGCGCTAAGCCTTATGAAAATGATGCTATTGCATTGCTTTGTTAGTACACTTTTTTAGTTAAACTTTGATTTACGAAACATTAAGTTAGTAAGTATTAAACGTAAAAGTTTATGTATTGCTTGAGGGCATGGGAATCGTGAAATATCTGTTTGGGCGGGGAGTTATGAAATATTCCGTAAAAACCGATAAGAAACAAAACAATTTTATTGTGTTTCGTAAATAACGGTACAAATCGAAAAAATAATTTCACGTTTCGTAACAACATGATACGAAACGAAACAAGATTTACGTGTTTCGTATAAATGCGATACAAAACAAAATGATATTTTTTGTTTCGTAAAAACGGAACGAAACGAATACTCACATTTTTTACCGTTTCATACCGAACTTCCGAGAGAATACGAGCAGACGCAGACCCTTAGCATTTATCTACTTTTTAAATGTTTTTGGATATCGTCAAGTAATGAGTCCCAATAATTTTTTCCACTCCGTTACCGTAACATCAATGTAACTATATCTGTTAATTATTATTATTTTTGTAACGAATTCTATTTTTGTAATGAAATATATTTGGTACTATAACTACAACATACATGTTAAGTATATTAACCAAATTTATTGACATAAAAAGTCTATTTTATATGACAATGTCTGCTTCGTTACTAACATTTGCTAATTATTTATTATTTAAAAGCAAAATTGTCCAAGTTATATTTCAGATTAAAGGGTAATTCTTAGTATACATAAAAAGTCAGTACATTGTCTTTATAAAAAAGATAAAGCGTCTTTATTTTTAAAAAAAAAACTCGACAGAAATTCTTTTCGTTTTTAAATTGTACAAATACTGTCCGCTCCGTTACTGGAATACCAATCATTACCATACATCATTAAAGTGAAGAAATTCATTTGAACATCATTTACTTCAATCAACAAAATATTCAAATTTTCATCGAAATTAACCAGATCAATGATATTGCTGCTTAAATGTTGAAATTGGTAATCATTGACCTTTGTATTAGCCGAGGTAGTACTTTCACCACTGTTCAAATTCTGCATTATTAAAAAGAAATTTTGCATCATGGAAGTCCTTAATTTAAATTTAATTACTATAGAAACAAATAAATTACAAAAATAGTAAAATACACAAATATTTGTTTACCATGCTAGTGCTTTTGGAAAACATATATCGCTTTAAATTGTAGCATGTGCAAACAATAGTTCTCTTACAGAAGCAGCATCTGGTGCTCCCTTGCCATGTCCATTTTCAAAAAAATTCCAACTTGCTAACTGAAATTTTAATTCGTATAGCACTGCTGAGAATAAGAAGAAGTTTTGCGTATTCCTATATTGTGTGGTTGGTCCTTCAGAAAATAATTGAAGATCTGTTATTTGTAGATTATCTACCTTGAGTTTAATTAGCACGGGTTCCAGATGTGCCCATATAGAAGAAGAATTGTGTCTCAAAGAGTCGGATATAGTTGTAAATGACTAATGCCTATCCATTTTATAAATTACTTCAGTATGCAATGTAACTTGTTTTTTACTTGCTCCAAAATGTGAAGATTGAATTGCAGCAAAACTCTTGCGCACATAGTTCTCAGAAAAATCTATATGTATAATAGCTTCGTTCACAATTACTTTTTCTTTTAAATATTTGTACATTCTGAACTGGTGTCTTATCATAAAAACATGCTTGCATAGCTCGTTTCGAATTTATAATATAATATATATTTCGCCATAAAGAAAATATTTACAAAATTAGACTTTAAAAACAGTATATACACGGCTGGGGCAAGAAGAAGACAAACTCAGTCTTATCGCCAAGCCCCTTCAAACAAGAGTATAAGTAACAAACAAAACAAAAAACCAAAAAGCCAAAAAAATCCGTTATCACAATATAATATATGCGTAAGGTACATATATAAATACAAATATCTAAATATTTTTCATTAAAATTTAATATTTTTTTTTAGTTTTTTTTTTTATTAGGATTTCAAATTTTAATATTAAATAAAAATGAGATAAAACATGATAATTTAAGAAGGTAAAGATTCAAATTAAAATCAAAAATTAATATGTTAAAAATAAATTAAATAACAAGTAAAAAACAAGTGATTACTCCTATTTAAAAGTTTCAGAAGAAGTCAAGTTCATTGTCAATTATCAAAAGTTTACTTTTCATTTTTTTTTTTAAATTGATCAAGGGAAGAAATTTTTTTAAACTCATTATCCAATAGGGTATCCAATTGATTCACAGAATTTTACTATAAGATCTTTAAGTGTTCCACGCTTATCACTTTTCCTGATAACTTTTGCTATTTTCTTTTCTTCCTTCTTTTTACATTCCTGTTTCTCTTTTTCCCACTGGAACCAAACTATAATACTTTCATCTTTTAGCAATCCTTTTGCTTAAAATTGAACACGATAGTCCAAACAAATGTTACATTATCTGAACATGCATTCTCTTCTATCAGTACAACAACAAACTTGTTTCACTACTTCTTCAATATTTTTTTCTTTCAAAACACTCAGGTTAATAATTTTATCACAAAGTAATTGTATGTTCTCGTGTTTTTTGCACAGACATGTGTCTCTATCTTTAGAAGACGGTTTGCGGACAAAAAATTGACGGTAACGAGCAAATGTCGTATATGAAATATTGTTTCTCGTATATATATATATATTTTTTTCAGTTTACAGTTATTAATCGTAATATAACAATATAACAATATATAAACTTGGTATCTGAAAGAAGATCCAAATGATCTTGTCGCCATATAAAATATATCATACGTGTATATATAATAAAATAAAAATGCAATTGATCAAATAACTATTAACAATGTAGAAGAAACAAAAACTGAAAATAATTTTACAAATTATCCAGAGTAAAAAAAAAGAATTTTACATTTCAAAAATATTTATATATATTGCCAGTAGAAAGAATATAGTTTTTTAATTTAGTTTTAAAAACGGAAAACGAAATTGACAAATCAAAATTTGGAACAACAATTTTGTTCCATAAATACGGTGCTCTATAGTTTATGCAAAATTGATTAAACTTTGTTTGACAAAAGGGTTCAATTAATAAATTATTATTTCGTAAAGCATATTTGTTTATAGCTTTATAAGTAAAAAGATCTTTGAAATTGGACAATGGTCATTCACTTTTACAACGAAACATAAAACATAAAATATTATAGACATTGAGTTCGTAAACGTTAAGTGCTTTAACGTTTTTAAATAAAATATTTGAATGAGAAAAACGATTTTCGAAACATATTAAACGCATTGCGTGTTTCTGACAATGGTAAATACTTCGTAACTTACTTTTAGAGGTACTTCCCCAAACAATATTTGCATAATTTATATAGCTATGAATAAACAAGTAGTAGAGTTGAATTAAATTTTGTTTACTTAGATAGTATCTGACCTTATATAGAATTCCAATACTTTTAGCCAATTTAGTAGAAATATAGTCGATATGATACTTCCATGTAATATTTTCATCAATGTAAATGCCTAAAAATCTAGTGACCGACTCCTTTTTTATTTCAATTTTATCAATAAAAAGTTTAGGCAATTTATTTGGTAAAAAACGCTTTTTTGCAAGAGAGTGGAAAAAGATCCACTTTGTTTTGTCAATGTTTAAAGTTAACTTGTTGCACTTAAACCAGTTGGAGATCTGATTGAGTTCTTTATTCATATTTGAAAAAAGCTCATAAATGCCACTGTTTGACAGAAATAAATTAGTATCGTCCGCAAAAATTATACTCATAAGGTTAGAAGCTTTATTTAAATCATTTATATAAACTAAAAACAAAAGTGGGCCTAGAATAGAACCCTGTGGAACACCACATTTTATGTCAATTAATTTTTCATTTTGAAAATAATCTCCATAGAAAACAAATTGTTTTCTATTTTCCAAGTAACTTTTATACCATTTTATTAATTTGCCATTAATTCCGTAAAATTTGAGCTTTTTAAGTAGAATTTTGTGATCGACCGTGTCGAATACTTTTGATAGGTCAATGAAAATACCTAATGTATATTGTGATCTACCAAATGAATTGGAGATTTCACGAATGAACTGTGTAATGGCTTGTTCAGTTGAACAATTTTTTTTTAAAACCGAATTGATTTTTATATAGAAGTTTATTTAGATTAAGGTAATTGTATGTTCTATTGTATATAATTCTTTCTAAAATTTTTGAGAAAGTTGAAAAAACTGAGATAGGGTGATAATTACTAATATTTGATTTTTTTCCGTTTTTGTATATAGGATTTACTTTAGCTATTTTTAATTGGTCGGGGAATACACCTTGCTGTATAGATGCCCTAAAGACTTTATAAAGAATACATTTTAAGTTTTCAAAGCAATCTATGACTATGTTGCCATTTATTTAGTCCGCACCCGTAGCTTTGTTTCTTTTGAGAGATTTGTAAGCTCTCTCAAACTCATCAAAAGATAAGTCAGAATGTAAATTATTATTCCGCGCTGAATATTTCATAAAGGTTTATTAATGAATCGAGTGGTAGTCGCTTTTGTTTTTATCTTTATTTTTTGTTACAGTCTGTTTCTTTCCAGTTGTTATTTTAGAATTGTCATCACGTTTAAGAAACTCTTTGATTAAGTTCTGTGTTTCAACATCAAGCGATACATTACCGCGATGAACCCCGCTGTTTGGAGTTGTACTTTTTGATGACAGAGAAGA